CAAATGTAGCCAGAGTCCCATTTAACCCAATCAGCATTATCAACCACTCATAATGACCCTTAATAACGATAAACGCAGCTTACTTCAAGTCGTCGGTATGATTTCGGACATGCCAGTATCCCGATGCCACATCAAGCGTAGTGAAAATGTTTTCCTTATCCAAGTGTTCTAGAATGTCATCTATACGTGGAATTGGTTGATAGTCGGTTACCGTTATGACGTTCAGCTTGTGATAGTGAAAACAAAGACGAGTACGTCCTTCGCCTTTCTTTTCTGCTTAGATGACCGTTGCGGTATGGGGCGACAATAGAGGCCTCACAACACCTTGCATATTGAGCACGTGAACTTGTATGGTACTGAATTAATAGGGGCAGCATCGCTAAGTTGAATCCTACTTTATTCAGTAGTGATGCAGCCAATATCTGTCTGGGATTTTTAGACGTCGCCATACTTATTTGAAAGAGAGTCAAGCACTGATGATTCATGTTCTGGCAAGCTTTCTGAATTCAGGGTTCGCATCGGTGGTGCTTTAGTGGTTTTCTCTTCATAGTGCTTCGACAGATTCAATTTTTCACTTTCGTATGTTACGGAATATTTTTCAAAATTTACAGAAACGTTAAAGCCCGAGGTGCTGTCTAGGACAAGAAATAATTATGTTCTCATGTTTTTCAGAACGTGCACATAAACTTTCTTTGTGACATTTCCTTCTCAATGTTTATGCGACTCAAAGTTCGAGTGCTTGGGTAAATTCGTGCACCATGATGCTGGAGTCTCTCATAAACTGAAGCTCGAGCTGTTATCACACATCTTCACTGATACAAGTAATTGATGCTCGTTTATCAAGAATTGCAGTTACTGCGGGCTTTCGTTTAATAGAGCATCAAACTGTAGTAATAAAACTCGGTGTCGTCCTCCTCGTTACCCGGTCTAGTCTCAATAACGTACACGTTGCCGCGGCGCGGACATTGATTGTGTCAATAAAACTGTCGGGGGAAACCAGCAGCTGAGCTTTATCTGCGTTCATTTTGTGGGACACGCGGTCACGAAACCAATGTTGGCTGCTACGGTCTGCTGAAGAAACGTGGGGCTCTGGGTGCAGAACTGGCAGTACGAGTAAAGAAACTCGCATGTCTAAAAGATGTCTCGACCATCTGGGTAGCGGAGAGCCACTCTGATGACGAGTTTAAAGATAGTCCTGTGAGCGCTAGTTCCACATAGGTAGGAACACCGTCAGTTAGTCCAGAAAAGATGATGAGCTGTTTAAGGTAGACCAACGATTCCAGTCATTCTAGGGGCGAAGCTCGTTTAGACGTAGATTATGCGTTCGCATACCAACCTCCATGGCCGGACTGGAGGAGCGGCACGCGCTCACTCTTTTTAATTGTAAAGAAAGCCCACGCGAGTTAATCAAAAATAAAAATAGTTGTTTCTGAAAAATAATCTTGAGAGACTAGTATCAATGATTTAATCTCCAATAAAGTTTGCCTTCAATTTGATGAATAATTAAAAATATAGTAACAGAAGGACTTACTCTGAGCATTCTGTGACCAGAAAAGGTTGCCACGTTAAGCTTCCTGGGCGTAACCTCCCGGATTTTAGCAAGATCTGACGACGCCTGGGTTACCATGCCATAAACTAGCTGTGGTGAAAGGTGAGAACTAAACACGAAGTGCAGGCCGTAAAAGAGCGCGTGTGCCGCTCCTCTAGTCCGGCCATGCCCCCCTTTCGTTTAGTCCTTGGAACGTCCGCTGAATGGTGGTACTTCTATATGATGAATGTATGATGCAAAGATACGAGATAACGGTACTTGGAGTCTTCACTAAAAGGCGCATGGACCTACCGACCGACAGATGCACGGACGGACGGGCGCGTGTACAGATGGATGGACGCACAGACGGAAGCAAGTACGGATGGATGGATGGACGCATAGATGGACCGATGCACGGACGGATGCGTGGATGGACGAGCGCACGGACGGACGGTCGCAGGGATGGACGATAGGACGCACAAACGGACGCACAGACGATCACACAGATGGATGCACAGAGGTACGGAATCAAGAATGGGTGGCCGGAAGCGTGAACGGACTGGCGGATGCTTCGCCCCACTCATCATCGTGCACTCCGTAGATGTGCTGTGATTTTTTTTCACGTCATAGTCTTGGTGATCTGCCCTCCCTTTAGCTTGTAGTGTACGATAAGACGAAAGGCATCTCCGTCAGTCGAGGAAAAGTGATTTCGCATGCCGCGCTTTATGTCGTCCCGTGCCTCGTCGTTGCCGAAAATCTCTGTCAGGTACCACTTGAACGCTACACCTTTGATGTATTCGCGGAAGTGAATGGACCCGATCTCGTTGTGTTCTTGATGACTCGGTTGCCGTCGTGTCGAAAAAGAGTAGCCCCTTGTCGACGGGGACGTCGTCTGGTGTTTTCTTGTACTTCGGTATGTTCAGAGGAGGCTTTGGCCTTTTCCTGGCAGGTTCGTCCGGTTGATCCTGTCGACTTGTTTGACGTTAGAGAACAGAGATACGTCGTTGTTCATACGAGTCGGCTTCTCCTGTCATTGCGCCCGGCCACGGTGGTCTAGTGGCTAAGGTATTCGGCTGTGGACCCGCAGGTCGTGGGATCGAATTCCAGCTGTGGCGGCTAAAATTCCGGTGGAGACATTAATGTTGTAGGGCTGTGTGCTCAGATTTAGGTGGATTTTAAAGAACTCCAGGTGGTCGAAATTTCCAAAGCCCTTTACTACGGCGTCTCTCATAATCATATGGTGGCTTTGGGACGTTAAACCCAACATATAATCTCCTATCGTTGCCTGGTCGAGCGTTACATATATATAAGTGTCACTTAACCTGAATACTTCAAGCTTCATTATTCACGGATGAAGTATGTCCGTATTTATCTTTGCCATGCGAACCATTTTTCCCAGACCGATGCAACAATACGCAGTATTCCTTGCCTAGTTGAAGCGATCTATTTGCAACTGGAAACTGCTTTCTATTGTATTGGAGCAAGTTTTTTTCCCAATGCCTTGAGTAGCATGACGTAGCAATTTCTCGTTTAACAATATTCCAATGAGTTGAGGCGATAATAAAAGACTACTTTCGATGAATACACAGCGAAATTTTAAAGCAGGTACCAAGAAACTGCTAATTGTCAGAGCAAGGAACCTCTGAAATGAATAATGATCCCATTTGTTTTGTTCAAGCGTGTTTAGAATGTGATCACTTCTTTGTAAAGCACGTGACTTGCGAACTAAATTAAAATAAGAATCACTGTACCTGACCACTGTAAAACTTCTCTGCAGTTCTCTTACAACTGATGACAGAAAAAATTATTAATTGTTCAACCTATGAACAAGAGATCATTGAATAATTAATAATGAGTGTTCGAGCTCTCATTGCTCACACTAGAAAGTTTTAACTGCACATATCGGCACGTGATAATTCATTCTCATGCAACATACCTGCCTGATTCCGCATACGTCCGCTCGGTTATACTTACACTGACTGCAACATTCGTTTCGCATTTCATGCGTAGGTATACATGCAGGTGCGTTGAGACATGTATAGTATTTTAGGTGTATTAATAGTCCAAATTCGGGGACGCCTTTCATTTTCTCTTTTATTTGGTGCATCTACCGCGCCAACGAGCATTTGGCGACGGCAAACAGCCGGCACGCTCGACCGGTTCAACGTACACACTTCTATCACAGCGCCTCGCGCACCCGCGAGGGACTTTTGGCTTGTTTAAAAATGGTGTATCTTTGCTGGTCGAAACGAGACGACAGGTGCGGACCAAGTGCCAGTGCATGCCTCCGCAACTGCCCATACTGGCGCATGATGGGCCATTTTGGAGGCCAAGGACTAACATTCCCGTTTTCATTGAGCTCTAGTGCAAGTGATGTTCGTATCAGGAAAGGTAGGTTACTGTATATTTCTCGAGATTCCGGGCATGCTTTTTGTGGATAGCTTGAATAATTGAATCTCACAATGCCTGCATTGTCCAAGTGAGAAAAAAAAGCTTCACGCAGTGCTACGGAGTCAGATGCCATCACATGTGCACTTCTGTAACACCGCGGAAGTTGTGTGCGTTTGCACTCTTAGCGCTCGTGATTTCTTGCGTATAATCAGTCTTTCGTTTAATAGTATAGTGTGAAACATGCATTCGATACTTTAAAAATTGACATTGTCAGCAGCAAAAACGCGTTACTGAAACTTTTTAGTGGGGAGTAACAGCTGATCCACCGTCCATTACTTTTCGTCGGTAACGGTAACGGTACCACGCTACCCTAGCCTTTTTGTTACAGTAACAATTAGCGCATTTAGTTACTTTTTTGGTGATGGATAGCACCTATCAGTCTTGCAACGCTCGCCTTTGAATGGCCAAGTGCACTAAGAGTCGCGTTCTGCACGCGCAGCCACGGACCAGAAAAGAGGAAAACGCCTGTTTATTTATTTACATTTTCTAGCATCTTCTTCCGAGACATTGCAAGAATGGGTACAGATTTCGCTTGGAAATCAGGCATGACATAAAACTAATCAGCATACAAAATGAACACTAAACTGCGGGAATTAACAAACATATAAATGAAAGATATACTAATGCGCATACAACAAATCAACATAGCACCAAAGAACACTTGTTAGATGGTAGATAGAAAAAGATCCGTAGTCATTTAGAACTTCAGAGGCACATGCTGATGAATACTTTCTGCAAATTGTGCTGGAGGTAACTGGCGCCAGAATTTTGTCGTAAACGGTCTATGGGAAGATCAATAGTCCATTAAAAAACATTACACTAAAATGAAAATGTTCTAGGAAAGCACCTGAGAGAGTGAATGTGTGGGACGTTCGTCATAGAACAATCATGTAAAAGAATTCTTCCGCATAAATCGAGTGCGCACCACCATAAGCCCTTGCAGCTGGTAAAAAGGGGTCATGTTTAACGCACTCCTAATCAAATTCCTGAGCATGATAGAGCTCATGACGCCCATGTGCAGCCGAAACCGTCTGACGGCACTGCCTCGCGACTTCGGGGAGGAGCTGCCAGCCCTGCGCATCCTCGACCTGTCACACAACCGTATCACCAGCTTGCTCGAGGTGAGCCTGCTGCCTCTGCAGGCCAGTGTCATGAGCGCCAGCCTAGACGGTAAGGCTTTCTAAGCTTCTTCTACAAGATGCACGGCATTTACGTAGCCATGATGACAGACAGACAGACAGACAGACAGACAGACAGACAGACAGACAGACAGACAGACAGACAGACAGACAGACAGACAGACAGACAGACAGACAGACAGACAGACAGACAGACAGACAGACAGACAGACAGACAGACAGACAGAAGACAGACAGATAGATAGATAGATAGATAGATAGATAGATAGATAGATAGATAGATAGATAGATAGATAGATAGATAGATAGATAGATAGATAGATAGATAGATAGATAGATAGATAGATAGATAGATAGATAGATAGATAGATAGATAGATAGATAGATAGATAGATAGATAGATAGATAGATAGATAGATAGATAGATAGATAGATAGATATAGATAGATTTGGCTCAGTAGCCGCGATGAAAAAGAGGCGAGCCGTGTGGCACGTGTGGCGTGAGCCACGAGGTACTACAGAACGGTCTAGCTTCGGAACCTGGCTTGACGGTGCAGCAGTGACTCGCCTCTCCTTCCTCGGCATATGGTGACCCGGACGTTGCCATGCTTCCGCAACTCTCCCGGTCGACCCCCGAGCGTGGTTTATGCGGCTCGATGCCATTCTCGCAGTCAGTGGCATCAAGGCACAGCTGATGATGCACGCTGTCTTGCTGGACGCACTCCCGGTTGAGCTGCGTCATCTAGCCACCAAGTCGTCCTCCAGCCCGCGACCCTTCGAAGACCTCTGCGCGGCGGTGCTCGCCTGCTTTGGTGAAACCTACTGCTCCATTTCAGGGAGCCGCGAGTTCCAGGTTTCCCCTCCACCTTAGTGAGCGGTATCAGCTGGTCCGCAGCCTTCCATTGTCTGCTACCTAGATACCGCGGCTTCGACTGCTTCTACCTTCGATCTGGTCACAGGATCCTCCAATCCTGCACCTAACCAGAACCACGAGGTAGAAGATGCCCCCACTGTGACTGACCTACCCTCCGACAGGTGCATTTCCTCGGAGCCCACGTACGCAGCTCTGCTGCACGAGCCTGCCAACTGCACGTCATCCGCGACATCGACGGTACGCGACACCGTGGCCCCACCCGATTTCATGACGGCTACGTTGCCGGAGGCTGGAGCAGACATCCTTGCACCCGCTATTCACCTCTCGGTCGCAGAACCTTCCCCCTCCCTGATGTCCGAAGGCGACTCTCTACCAACCCCAGCGCTCTGCGTGTCCTGCCAGCAGCGACCAGCATCGCCCTCGCAGTCTCCCGCAAACCAAGTTAAATCCATCAGTCATCAACCGCAACCAAACTTCCGAGACGCTGCGACTATGACTGACGCTCCTGAGTACAACATGCCTGGTCCGCCTATGACAGAACAGACCACACCTTGTGTACTACCCACACAGGTGCACAACACAACCACCAGGCTGCCCCGACGAGCACGTGTACTCCAGCTTAGCTTCCGGTGAAGCCCACCCCTTCAGGGTCTCATGACCACCCTCCGGAGTCTTCGAATGGTGACACGACCTCACAACCATGCACCTTGAATTCAGACGTGCCCCTCGCAAGGCCCAGGCGTCCACTAACTTTCTGCGGCACATCGACCAACCAGTCGCTGTTGACCTGCTTGCCTGGCGTGACCTTCGTGCACTTCTTTAAGCACGGCGTTTTCACGACTCAGCCACCCGCGCCAGCATGGCAGCCGCAGTGAAACGCTGAGGTCATTGTTCCTTCGATGACTGCGTCCGCATCACCACAGCCAGCCAACTGCTCTTTGTCGACTGCCTTGTCGGCACCATGTGCGCTGTCGTAGACTCCGCCGTGACCGCTACATTTCAGTCCTCTGTCATCATGGCTCTGTTTTGATCCCTCAGACTGCTTCCCCCCTGCCCCCATCGCCAACGCGGGTTTTTCAGAGCGTTCCCACTGCTCTAGATAGGGGCACACTTGTCAACCGCGTCCACTCCAACCACGGGATTTGCTCTCAAATTCTCCTACCGACTCGTCGTGGGGCGCACGTGCCTATGACCGCAGCGACCCGGCGCTTTCATCTCCGTCCGCTGTGTTTCTCCCAGTGTCACCCGCTGGAGACCCACTGCTTCCCGATGGCTTATACACGATGACAAACTGAACTTTCCAAATGGACACTTTACGGATTGTCGTTTGTCGTTCATGTATATACCATCTCTCAATCCCTTCCTTTTGTACATATATCCTACTGTATATCGAACTTCATCTTGAAAAACTGCGCAGTGTCTATCGCCCCTTTTTTAACTCTCATGTACAAAACGTCGCTTGAACAATGCGTTTTACCGGCTGATTGGAAAAATGCCAACGTAACCCCAGTATATAAAAGCGGAGATAAAACAAAAAAGTGTAACTACAGGCCCATTTCTCTGACAAGCGTGTGCTGCAAGACACTCGAACATATCATTTACACAAACTTAATGAATCATCTTCAAAGTAATAACTTCTTTTCCCCATTGCAACACGGTGTCAGGGCGGGTTTCTCGTGCGATACACAACTGGTCGAGTTCACGCACGACATTGCAGCTTCTATTAACTCAGGCCTTCAGGTTGACTGTATATTTCTGGATTTCCAGAAGGCATTCGATTCCGTGTCACATGTGTTGTTGTTGCAAAAGCTTCATTGTCTAGGCATACCTAATGCCCTTCTCATGTGGATTGAGGCATACATTTCAGAAAGACAGCAGTGCGTGATTCTTGACGGTGTGTGCTCATCAAGCGTCGGTGTATTGTCAGGAGTGCCACAAGGGTCAGTTTTGGGGCCCCTGCTTTTTCTTATTTTTATAAATGATATCTCCGACAATCTCTCTAGCCGTCTTCGATTGTATGCTGACGATTGTTGCATTTACAGTAACATTACCTCTGAAGCGGACACCGTTCAATTGCAGAATGACTTGAACTCCATAGTTTCTTGGTGTGATTCAGGGAGAATGACACTAAATCTGTCGAAGTGTAAATTGGTGAGGTTTACGAACAAAAAACAGCCTCGGATTTCAAATTACGTCATGGCCGGGGCTACCTTGCCGGTTGAAACAGAATATAAATACCTAGGGGTCATTTTTTCTGCCAACCTATCTTGGAACGCTCATATTATTGCTTAACATTAAAGGCTAGTCGAAAGCTAAATTTTTCGAGGCGCAATTTCAGACAGGCACCAACTAAGTTGAAAGAAACACTATACATATCCAATGTGCGTCCCATATTAGAATATGCCTGCAGTGCCTGGGACCCCTCAACAAAATCAAATATAGAAGCCCTGGAGCGTGTACAGGCACGCGCAGCACGCTTTGTGGCAAGCAATTATAACTTTACCATAAGATCAGCTGACATTCGTTCAGGATTGCAATGGCCTCTGTTAGCTGACCGGCGAAAATACCTATGACTGTCCCTATTTTACAGCATATTCATGAACAAAACAGGCATCGACAAGGATCAGTATATAAGGCCACCTACCTATGTGTCACCCCGTACTGACCATTCTTTAAAACTGCGTGAATACACTTCCAGGATAAACACATTCAAATACGCCTTTTTTCCAAGAACCACGCATGAGTGGAACGGCTTGCCAGAGGAAATTGTCTCTGCGCCTCCCTTATCTTTTGTTGAAAATTTGCACAATTTTTTGCTGAACTAATCATTACTGTACATTTCTGATGCGTTCCGTACTAATTATTTTCTTTTGTTTTTATTGCCCTGTGTTACCAATAGCACTCTTCTCTTTCAACGTTTGCTTTGTATTTGCAATTTGATGCCTTATTTATGACAGTGTTGTTTCACTTTGTTGTTTCACTTTGTTATGACTATGTTCTTTCAAACGATACAGCCTTTTATCCGCAACCATCTTTTTCGGTATATCGACTGTACTGTATTCTTTTGCTTGTTCTCCCCCCTACAATAATGCCCGTAAGGGCGATGTAGGTACATGTATAAATAAATATAAATATGTTTACAATTGCGCAAGGCGCTAGGGGGGGGAGGGGGGAGCCTATGTAGCGTCATGCTACATTTGGCTAAGTAGCCACGCCGAAAAAAAAACCCAGCCGCGTGGCTCGTGTGGCACGAGCCACGAGGTACGGCAGAACGGCCTAGCTTCGGAACCTGGCTTGACGCTGCCGCGGTGACTCCGCCTACGCCTGCGTGCCTAATAAGGCCTTGAACTTGGCACGAGCTTGTCGCGACCATTTCGCCTCTCCTTCCTCGACAGATAGATAGATAGATAGATGGATAGATAGATAGATAGATAGATAGATAGATAGATAGATAGATAGATAGATAGATAGATAGATAGATAGATAGATAGATAGATAGATAGACAGACAGACAGACAGACAGACAAACAGATAGATAGATAGATAGATAGATAGATAGATAGATAGATAGATAGATAGATAGATAGATAGATAGATAGATAGATAGATAGATAGATAGATAGATAGATAGATAGATAGATAGATAGATAGATAGATAGATAGATAGATAGATAGATAGATAGATAGATAGATAGATAGATAGATAGATAGATAGATAGATAGATAGATAGATAGATAGATAGATAGATAGATAGATAGATAGATAGATAGATAGATAGATAGATAGATAGATAGATAGATAGATAGATAGATAGATAGATAGATAGATAGATAGATAGATAGATAGATAGATAGATAGATAGATAGATAGATAGATAGATAGATAGATAGATATATAGATAGATAGATAGATAGATGAACAGGCGCGCGGGCGGCCGGATGGATGGATGGATGGATGGATGGATGGATGGATGGATGGATGGATGGATGGATGGATGGATGGATGGATGGATGGATGGATGGATGGATGATTGAATGGATAAATGGATGTGGTTTAACGCCCCAAAACCACCATACGAACATGAGAGTTGTTGCAGTGGAGGGCCCCGGAAATTTCGACCACCTGGGGTTCTTCAGCGTGCCTACAGCATTTTCGC